ATATATGTTAACTACTATAAAACATGGAAATAAAACTCATGACTGGACTTGTTTTACATATTTATTTCTTTAGAAAAGCAGACACAGTGTGACATACCAAAGACACATTTATTCATTCACTCAGTCATTCACTCGCACCCTCACTCATTTATTATTGTTCTTCATGTTACTTTGCATATGTACTCCATGTATTTATGTACACATTATGTATTATTATTTTGTTTTTTTCCCCCACATATTCAATTTAAAATATTTCCGTGTTTTCTTTTCCTTCATCTATAAGGTTTCATGCAGTTAGTGAATACACAAATGACACCAGCTGACATGTACTAGTTTGGACTCTCCTGAATATCCTTATTAATCATTAATCAAAACACAAATTCCCAAAGCTTTCTTTTCACACAGGTTTGGTGTTATTTGTAGGAGAGAACTGACCTCTGTTGGACTTTAACCAAGAATACAAAGTTAATGTGATAACTGAGCAGGTTTTCATCCTTATCGTCTCCAAATGTCCCTGCTGGCCTCGTGCAAAATAAGAATAAAAAGGTTATGTTAATGAAGCCTCTGCCTAATACTGACCAGCGGTACACTCCCAAAACAGCTCTTTTCTTTGAGATAAAGTACAGTTTTCCCATCTAAAATGTGAAAATAATAGAAAGTGACTGGAAAAACAACAATCAGTCACAATAACTAAAAAAAAAAGAAGCCAAAAACAAAGTGCACACAAACATTTTTTATCTAAAAATGGTGCTGTTAATCCACAGCATGAGCTCAACTTTGCTGTGAAGAAAGTTTAAATACTAGCAATAAATATTAACCCAGAAATGAGCGCACCTTTTACTTGATACACATTCTGTACATGACGCGAACATGCAGCATCTACGTATAATACTTATAATACATTTTAGATAGCGAGTGAAACATACATGCAGCGTGGCCATGTACATTTTATACACGACATTTAAATGAAAACACCTTAATGCTGACATCTCCTGTTGGCTTATTTGGCAAATATTGCTTGGAGAGTTGTTTGTCCACTCATAGAGCTGATAATACTCTGAGGCAGGTGTTCAAAGATTTTTAGAAAAGCTGTTTCAGTTCAGTGATTCCTCTTCTATAAAAGTAGAAAAGCAGACTATGAGGTTTAAAAATCGCTGTGCCCGTCATGCCAAACATTCTCACAAACCTTTTAACTACACTGAGGATGGACGTCTCCTCACAGGGGGCAGATATTCACAATAAGTTTTTACCACGTCAAGCTGACAAATGACTCTTTTTCTCTTGCCGCCTTTGATAACTGGAAAGTAACACTTAATACTAAACCAATAAAAGCAATGAGATATTGCTAGAACAAAAGCCCTTTTTCCTACCTTTTTTCAACAGTGGCATCAGTAATTTCTGCTGGCTTTGGTTTTGCACTTGATTTATTGTCCTCTGTCTCCTGACCCTTTCTAGTCACCTTTGGGCTAGAATTAGCTTTTCTAGCAATTTGAGGGCTGTGTCCTTTTCGCTGGAGCTGTGGGCTGGTAGACCCCGCTTTGCGGTTGAGCAGAGGGCTTTTTGAGACCTTCGCTTTGGCGGGCTGCTGCAGACTGTCCATAGTCTTAAGCGGGCGCAGGCCAAGAAGCCCGCAGTAGTAGTTGCATTGATGGAGTGTCAGGAACTGGTTGAACACCTCAGGTGAGCCACACTCAGTTAATCCTTGGTATCTGAAGAACAAAGGGAGGCGGGGGGGTTATTGCAGCTATTTAGCAGCAAACAAACAATAATTTTGCATGTAGGGACTGCGATACAAACCCTTTTGACTTGGTGACAACTCTCACGTTTGTAATCTTTGTTTCAACACCTAGAAAAAATAAAAAAAACAAGCCATAGAGAATCTTTAATGGTCATGATCCCGCTAATATTCACTTTAAATGATTGCCTTCATGATTATTTTATGTGTGGCGTACCCTCGAGCTGAGTGACCAACAAATTGCCATGTGTCCACTGATGGATCCAGTGCTGGAAGCTGCAGCATTTCTGCTCTATCTCAGAAATCTTTTGCATAACCAGTTTCCCTTTAGCATCCATTGTGCAATACTTAAGGAATAAACCAGTAAGATCAGCCTCCACTGTGGCATACGGCACAGAATTTGCTGGCCGGTACATCAAATAGCGAGGAATCACTCTGTGGGCAACATGAAGTAACAGTGGGATGATCACAAGCAGTAATATACTGTGTATAGTATAATTTTAATGGATTTAATTATCAGAACAAAAATATATATGTTGCTTACTCTAGTGAAGGCCCAAAGGTTTCAATAACTCTTGCTTCAGCTGAGAAGATTTTGCAGTATTCTCGAATCATGTTTTGGACTTTGCATTCCTAGAAAACAGAGATTTTTAAAAAAAAAAAAAAATAAAGCAGAAGGAAGCACCATATATACTAAAATTTAAGTTAAGTTCCTCAGTGAAACTCACGTGCTTAGTAATTTCTAGATTTCTCTCTGCAAGGTTGCTCTCCTGTTTGGTCCCATAAGCGATGGGGCTTTGAACTTTAATAATACAAGTGCTTCCGGACTCAAAGACGGGATCCAGGCCATAGATGACCTTCACCTGGCTGGCTTTGTGCATGCAGCCCTCCCCAAGGTGCAACCTCTCTGTCATGATCCGACCAAAGTACTTGTCACCCCAAGTGCCAGAGTCGACCAAGCCTTTGGTGAACAGGAGCGGGGTCATCTCTATCTCTTCTCCAACTGAAGCAAAAACAGAGTTACTCTGGGAATCCAGTTAAAAATAGTGTATAAACAAAGGCTCAGATGCATATAGTGTTTAACCAAAAAGTACCTTCCAAATCATCTTTTAGCAGTATTTCAGACATAACTGTAAGAGAGAAAACAGACAAAACCTTGAATAAATTGAATTTAATATTAGTAAAACACTCTAAATTTCAATTTAGATTTTTTTCTATACATGCTGTTTCTTACTGTCTATACTGAGGAGGAAGTCAGTACTGTCCGTCCCGTATTCATTAGTGATCGTGCAGCCATATACACCACAGTCTTGGTTGGACGCGAGAACAATTGCCAGTGCTACTTGGCTTTCATCTCCTCCACTTGAGCATAAAATGAGAAAAAAATAAAGAAAAAAAATCCACACAATCACGAACGCATTCAATCGAGAGACTCCAATTCCCCAACAACCCACAAGATGTCACTGTGAGACAGATGCTCGTGCTGTGCGGCAGCAGACTGCTGACACAGCAACCGTTAGCACATATATATAGACTTTTAATGCACCCTGGAGACGGGAAAAATATTGTGTCAGGTTACAGTTTCTGTGTCTAGCCAGAGATTCACCTCTCTGTGTCACAGCTGTGGGGTTCACAGTCACATGAGCTGGACATCTTTTGCAGTGAGAATATGAGAATGACAGAAGACCATGGGATGCACTCAGGCTCAAATAAATCCTGCTTATCCTTGAAGCATTATTGTTTCATATTTGGAACCCGCCCATTTGTCATTTTGGCTGGAAATCCTCAGAATAATAGCAATGGCAAAGGTGAAAAGTAGCTCTTTTAATACCTAAAACAAATTGAACATGTGATTTTACAGATAGGTAGGGTGGTTATGACCATAAAATGAGTAAAGGTGAAAACTAACCTTCTTTTCACCTCTAGAATTTCTTCCTCATCTCTGTACCACTTAATGGTGGAGTCGCCGAGCACGTTAAAGAACTGGCACCAAAGCTTCAGGTGTCCAGAGGCATCTGGGAATGGCTCCCCCCGCATCTTACGGATAACCTGCGGAGCTGGTGATGCATGGAAAGGAGAATCGAGCTCATGTGATGTTTCTTGTTCCTTAAGTGGCAGTTTATTTCACATTTTTTGCACTGATGATACTTCTCTCAAAATATATAATTTATATCAAATTATATATTTTGAGAGAAGTATGAAAACAAGGAAATTAGACAGTCCACTGTGATTTAACAGATAATTGCTTGTAACTCCATAGAGGCTAATTATCCATCCATCCATCCATTTGTCTCCACTTATCCAATCCATGGTTATGGGGGAAAGCTGGACAGGTTGCCTCATTATTTATTTATATTCCACGCATGTACTTAGTTAATATGATAAAAAAAAAAAAACCTCTTCATTTCATAATACCTTTGCTAAATTAAACAAAAGAAAACTTTACCTTTCAAAGGGTCTATCTTTTTTTCAGCAGGTTTCTCTTCTCGTTTGGTGCTTGTCGGCTCTTCTGTGGGAGTCTCCCCCACGACTTTGGGCACCTCCAAGGTGGACTTTCGGCGATTCAGCAGCGGGGAGCGTCTCTCGATAGGTGGGGTTTTTTGAGCCTGCAGTAACGATGCCCTGCGGGCCTGGCTGGGTGACATGTAACTCAAGATCCCTTGAGTATCTAGTGCTAGTGTCCCATCTATGTCTTCTTTAGGTTTTGGGATGAAGATTTTGCGACGAGCTCCAGAGGCCAACTCCTCAGGCGTGGCAGAGCGTATGAGAGTTAGACTGTCTCTGCGTTTCATTCGGGGACTGCTTTCACAGGAAAGGGATGATGTTGGTGTAGACCCTCCACTTAGATCTTCAGCTGCCGCAGCCTCGTTGTCTGAGTCTGCAGCAGCTTTGGATATTAATTTGCGGAGACTAGCTGGACTTGTCGGGGGCTTGGAGCTGAGTCTCTCAACAGAAAATCTGTTTTTCTGGGGATCTTCAACTGACACTGAATTCTCTGTCTTGGCATCTTTGAGGGATTTGGGTTTCAAAGTTTCAGGGACAAGGACGTCCACAGTTGTTTTGCTGAATAACGAAACACTGTCACCGACTTTTGGTTTCAGAGCTTCATATAGCACAGTGGGAGTGTTCTCTTTGACACTTCTTTCGTCAA